ACCAGCCTGAGCAAGAGCGAGACCCCGTCTCTACTAAAAATAGAAAGAAATGATCTGGATAACTAAAAATATACAGAAAAAATTAGCCGGGCATGGTGGTGCTTGCCTGTGGTCCCAGCGACTTGGGAGGCTGAGGCAGTAGGATCGCTTGAGCCCAAGAGTTTGAGGTTGCTGTGAGCTAGGCTGACACCACGGCACTCATTCTAGCCAGGGCAACAGAGTGTGTACATAGAATTATCTCCAGACCATACACAAGAAACTGGTAACAGTGGACATGGATGTGTGGCTAACAAAATTTTCTTTGTACTTTATACTATGTACTTTGAATATTAGAAACTTTGAATTATGAAATATGAATGGAATAGTTCCCTCTTTATTCTTGAAGACTATCTATGTAGAGCCTGGACCACAGATTCCCAAAAGCTCCTTGGGGGCTTCTGAGGCTAGCTAGGTTTGGTTTAATTTGTCTGTGAGTTGGAAATTCCAAGAAACTTGAGATCTTTATCTGCCTTTCTTCACCCCACCCCTCTTTCAATGAGCAGATGCTAGTGGTGTTTAAATCGGCTCCAATCTTAAAGCGGGCCCTCAAGGTCAAACAGGCCATGCTGCAACTTTATGTCCTAAAGCTGCTAAAGATACAGACCAAGTACCTGGGGCGCCAATGGAGGAAAAGCAACATGAAAACCATGTCAGCCATTTACCAGAAAGTACGCCACCGCATGAATGATGACTGGGCTTACGGGAATGGTGAGTATTCTCAGAGCTCTTGACTTCCAGGAGTTTCTGGGGTTTAAACAAAACTAAATAAACATTCTATTTATCTCTACTCTTGACATGAATTGTTATGTATTTTGGGTGAGAAAATATGTGATTATAGGTCAGGGGCTAATACACCAAACTTTAACATATTTAAATGCCCCAAATTCTAACATGTACTCCGTCCTATGTAAACCACAAAAATCCATTTTATAAAACAAGTAAATTGAAGATAATTACCCCCTTTCCAAGATGTTTTTTTAAATGGCAGCTTTCTCCAAAAGATTTGTTAAATTAAAATAACTTTTACTTCAGGGGCTGGGCGCAGTGGCTCATGCCTGTAATCCTAGCTCTCTGGGAGGCCGAGGCCGGAGGATTGCTTGAGCTCAGGAGTTCGAGACCAGCCTGAGCAAGAGCGAGACCCCGTCTCTACTAAAAATAGAAAGAAATTAATTGGACAAC